TGAAGCAAAAACTGAAAATAATAGCCTTTCCGTTACAGCTTGGACTGGATTTCAGGGCTCTGCTTCCAAACCCGTGAGAGATGAGAATGACATTCTCATCTCTCGCAACGGAGCAGGAAGACTACGCGGACTCAATCCTGGCTCTGCCAATGCACACGACACAAATCCATCGAAAAACGTTTGCTGCCATAAAGCTCCCATCCTTTCCCAGCAGAACCACTTAGCACAAGTGGACCTCTGAGACCATCAAATGAAACTACATGTTTGCTCGAGGGAACTAGGAGAGCTACCCTCCACCACCTTCCCATATTGTGTCCTAATAATGGGCAACGCGTGTTTCGTTCAACTGTTATGTTCTTGACGGCGCTTGGCGTGAAAACTGGATGCCATTACTAAAAAGCAGCTTGAAACCCATTGGGAACCATTTCCGTGGACGCGTGGCTCTCCACTCCAAGGACCTTCAAAGGCAACTCGGCTCGCTGCGTCGCTCCCGAAAATCGCCTGCGTATTGCAGGGTCCCAGCAACGCCCGCCATGTCATTCACCTCCTGGCAAACAGCCAGGGAAAGAAGTGTATTACGCAAGGAAACGAGCCCAATTGCCCCCATCCACATCGCACATGATTTCCATGAGTCGGGACTCTCTCCTTCAACAATCACGGCGCTTGTCCATCAAGGCTCAGTATAGTAGGCAAGAAAGCATGTCCCTTGGGGGTGGTGCACGTCCCGGCCATGCGCAAGTGAGTGTGTGTGTGTGTGTACCTGTGCGCCGGTGAACCGATGCTCGCCACATCAATGTTGGTAGGTAGAGGCTTGTTTTTACCAACCGGCCTCACTTCGACGCTGTGTATTGGATCGGATTTGGTAGCAGTTGAGAGTTGTTGGTTTCAGGCTATCTTGGGTTGGTTTAGGTTCATTTAAGCCCGGCAAAGAGCTGACATCCAGGCTGCTGTTGGGTGGGTTCGGCGTTGACTGGTTTAGCAGTGGCTTCAGGGTTGCTTCAGGGACTGTAGGGCGTGGTTAAGTGAGTTTTAGGCTAGTTTACCAAGCCAAACCCGGTCCAAACAACCAACCAAACCAACCAAACCAAACCAAACCAAAACAAACCAAAACAAACCAAACCAACCAACCAACCAACCAACCAGGGGACGGCCCGCCCTGGTAAAAACAACAGCCCTCTTCATGCAGCAAACAGAAACTCTTCCTTTTGCCAGAACAAAGCATGGTGCTTGCTTGCAGCCTCTGCTAAAATCAGCACCAGGAACCTGATAGCCTTCAAATGACATGATTGCTTGCTGTGCTCGGCAAAGAAAAGCTGTGGCACAACGGTTGGAAGTTGAGGTGTACACATGTTTGAGGCAGAGTCTGCGCAGCAAATATCTGGCGCAACGATTGAACAAGCAAATCGGGCATTCTGTTTGCAAGCGTGCAGTTTGCGTAAACACCGGCAAACCGTTTACATATGAACACAAACCAGTGTCTTTCTGCCACACACACACAAACATACATATCTGTGTATATGTGTATATATATATATACACATAAAAATATGTGGTAAGATATATGTATACTAACTATTCTCGGATATTTGGCCGGTCATGCTTGCAGCGCCCGCACCAATCCAGTGTATCACTGAAGGACAACAAGACTGCAAACACAACGCAACACCTGTGACTCAATTGCCTCTTGCTTTCACCACATGCTGTCTGTTGTTGGGACTCCTGCGACGTGTGGCTGTGTTTGCAAGTCGAGCTTCGTCGACTCTGAAAGCAGTGTCTGTCCAAAGACACTGACACAAAGGATGTAAACCGCGCAGGTCAAGATTTAGAGGGAGTGGATCTACCGGTAGTACCAGCAGTTGCATTCGCATCACAGGCAGGGTCACTCAAGCAGATCGCGCAGAGCAAAAACTTGGGCGCTCGAGGCACGAGGTATAGGGCACAAATTCTCAACCCAGCTTCGGGAAGGCGTGGCGGGGAGCACGTGAAATGTCCTATTCTTTGTCACAAAGTTGGAGGCGGAACATGGGCGCAACAAAGCAGAGTTGCCCAGGCCAAGAAGCAACTGAGCGACGTGCCTGTCAAGCGGCACAAAATGGGTCACCGCGTCGTATTTCTCAGGCAAGGCACAGAGGCTTTTAAAGAAGTCCATCCTGCGCTCAATGTTGGTACATTTATGACAAGCGCTGAGCGCTGCAAGTCTACTTGATAAGGGGATTGGGCCTGTGCTGTAGCAACAGGCAAACTGCGTTCGGCTCCTGCATGAACAGCCGGCCGCATTCCGCTGCGATTGGGGAAATGGCGAGCAATGCCAGGATGATACTGAAAATGTAGGCCTCCAGAGTTGATCCCTGCTCTCTGTGGGACCTGTCAACCCAAAGTTTGATTGTTTGCAGGGGGTCCCCCTTGGCTTTTTGCCTCACATCCCACCTCCACATTGCCTGAGAAAAACTTGCCGCAGCAAGCCATAAAGGCGCCAGATGCGCAGCTCAGCAGCAGAAAGCGCTGCATGAGCCTTGCGAGTCGCTGGAAGCACTTGAGTCGTGGCCATTTGGTGAAAGACTTTGCCGCTGCTGTACAGACTTCTCTGGGAAAACAACATGGAATCCGAAAACAACCTGTAGAGTCTGGCATAGCCGGGAGCGGAAGTTTGAAACATTTTAACGCCTTAGTTTGGCACATGCCCCTGTAAACTTCCAGCCTGCCAGCGCATGCAAGCGTGCCTTTTGTCCCTTTTGGCCCGTGCTGTCTGCATTCTGCTCCAGCGAATGACAGCGCGCATTGACCACGTGCTTGCGTGCGTGGGATCAAATTAGCTACAGAACTCCTTGCCAGTGTCATGAGGGCAAAATGGAGGTGTTCAAGACATTCACATGACACCAAGAGACCACATATCGACGTTTGCAGAGGGTTTTGTGGCCTATTAGGATGTCGATATTGCCTTTTGGGGCCACCCTTTCTGTGACAAGCACGGTGATATGATGCTCAGCAAGGACTGTGATACGAAGGCTCCCGGCATGCAAAATTGTGTTCGCTGTGTCTTTGCAAATAGTTGCACCCCATTGCGAAACAGTCCTCGAACTCTTGAATAACGTGGCGCTCGTGGGACGAAACATAGGTTTGCATGTGAAACTGCTTGTAATTGCGGCGCAGAAGGGTGTGTCTCAGGAAAACACGTTTCCCCCATGGAATTTACAGCGCATGAGCGCAGAGGCGGTGACGTGCATGAGAAAACCTCACGGCCGGCTATGTGCCGTATACCTAGTTTGTGTGCGAGTTGTCTAGCTTCTCGCTATCCACTTAGTTAGCGAGCGAGCAGCGTTCGCTAGTTTCCTTGCAAATCAAGTTGCTAGATATGTAGATAGCTCAAATAGCTAGCTAGCTTGGCTAGCTAGCGGGTCAAGTAGTTTGCTAGTTAGTTGACTCGCTAGTTGGGTCAGCCATCTAGAAGGTGCGGTCGATGACTAGTTAGTTGAGTAGCTACAGTTATCAGCTGTTTAGCAGCCACTTCAGAAGTAAGCTAGGCATCGTGTTAGCTACTTCGGAGAACTAGCTAGCCAAGCTGGTTG